TATATCTTATAGCTGCCATAGAAGCGATCGGTAAATGTATAAAATATATAAAGCTGGGAATGTAAAACTGTAACTGTCAAACTGTAAACATAATAAGTATAGGTAAAATGTAATGAAACTCTGTTTTGTGAGTGTCTTCAGCATTTCAATCTAAAAAATAAACATCAAAACCAATCTGCAAGGGTATACAAACTTCGGCGTGCCGAAGTTAGCTTCCGTTCTTGTTTTCCTATTCATTTTCCGATCGTTCCTATGACAGCTATAAGATATAGTCGTCCGATTTTCATAAAATTTTTACAGAAATTCTGGAATAATATAAAATGGCAATATCTTAAAAATGATGCAAAAATATTAAAAAACAGCCAAGTTATAATTTTTTTCCAAAAATTTATCGAACATTTGTTCGGCAGCTATATGATATAGTCGTCCGATCCGGCCCGTTCCGACATATATAGCAGTGAGAGCATATAGAAGACTATATGCAAAGTTTCATTCAGATAGCTTTAAAACTGAGGGACTAGTTCGACTCGGCTGTTGATGCTGATCAAGAATATATATACTTTACAGGGTCGGAAAGGTCTCCATCACTGCGTTGCAAACTTCTGACTAAAATTATAATACCCTGCAAGGGTATAAAAATTAGCAGCAAGCCGAGCATCTGAAGACAACAACAACATCATCGAGCCTACGATAATTAAATAATTAAAATAAAAACTAGCAGCAAAACGAGCATCTGGAGAAAACAACAGCAAGATTGGCCACTCTTTACATAATTTACATAAAATAATATATTAAATCATAACTTTATAGTTTTACTTTAATTTAGGTTAATTCATTGTAAGTATAACGCTTATTGAACGAAACGAAAATAACTGTTCCTTAAAATTTATTTGTGCAAAGACAAAATCACATGAATAACGGTGATAACCCTATAGACGACTTCGTGTCAGGTTTAAATAAGTGGTCAGCGCTCCAGCAGAGTAGGTTAAACAGTGTCGAAGAAATTAATAACTCGGTAGAAATAATTTCGTGGTTAACAACAAACCAAGCTAGCAAAATGGCATTGAGCGAAGGTCAGTTAAAAGCGATAGTGGAGAGTGCTGTTGCCGGCGCGCTCACAGTGCAAAAGCAATCGTTTGAACAGTTACACAGTTACATGAGAATAGAGAAAGAATAGAAAAATTAACAGTTGACACCCCAGAAGTGGAAACTTACAAAGATGCTGAGATCGAAGAAGGTGTTGTTTTTAAAGAACCTTTGGACATTTGCATTCCGGCGAAATAATAAAACGCAACTAAGCTTAAAGCTTATAGGCCTAGACTCGCCAGCGTTTATCTACATAAACGAGCAGCTGACGAAACCGAAATATGAAATATTCAAACGAGCAATGCATCTCAAACGGATAAAGCGCTTATCAGCTGTTTTCACTCGGCGAGGGGAGATATTCGTGAAGGAACGAGTAGGTGCAGAGGCTAGGTGCTTGCAGAGCTTTGGCGATCAGGATCATCTGGAGTTGGAGATGGGGTAATGAGTCCCTTACTTTAGAAGTTTCAAGTGTTGGAGCTTTACAAAATAGTTCTTTTCGCACCTAAACTAAGTTAAAATGCATTTTTTATTTAAAAAGTTTAGTAATATTTAAAAACAGTCGCTGTAATAGGAAGCTTATATTTATTGTGGGAGTCTTTAAATTTAGAATAATTTTTGATAAAATGCTAATAATTTTAAAATTTATTAATATAACATGGAAGACAACATAAATCAAAATAGTCAAAATAGCCGCGCGTTACTGCGCATTCTTGGAAAGCAGAGATCTGGTCTAAAAATCTGTCATATAAATGCTCAAAGCCTGACTAAAAAAATTGAAGAATTTAGGTATCTCTTTATCGACTCAGAAATAGATGTTATATGTATATCTGAAACATGGTTTGTCCCGAATATTTGTGATGTCTTAGTTGAATGTGACGGCTTTAACTTGTATCGTTCTGATCGTGAAAGTCATGGTGGAGGGGTTGCAATGTATGTGAACAAAAAATTGAAGTCCAAATTTGTATGTAAACATCCTGCTTGTAGTTCTGTGGAATATTTATTTGTAGAAATTAAATATAAGTTACAACAGACTGCAAAAATGCTGATTGGGTGCGCCTATCGGCCTAATTGTCGGACCAACTATGACAACATTAAAAGTATCCTAGCTGATTTGTCAACAAAATATGCAGATGTTATTCTTGCAGGTGACTTTAATAGTGATTTAATAAGAGAATCACATCTTACAAATAATATGGAGTCGCTAGGGTTAAATGTAGTAAACACTACTTCCCCTACGCATTTTTGCAACACTCGCAGCTCATTACTAGATGTGTTCTTTGTGACTAATACTGACAAAGTAGCTTTATATGACCAGCTAATCGTCCCGTCTTTTTCGAAACATGACCTCATCTTTCTGACATACGCGATTGACCTTCTATATCATGACAATACCATAGTCTTTAGGGACTTTAGAAATATAAATTATGAACATTTAAATGAAACCTTTAATTGCTGTAATTGGGATGGCCTATATTTACTCGCAGAAGTTGACGATCAAGTAAAGTACTTTCAGGATAATATACTTAACTTGTATAACAGCTGCGTTCCGGTTCGTAGAAAAATAATTCGTGCAACGGAGAAACCATGGTTTCATAATGGCATTCGGAATGCGATCAATGAACGCGACAAAGCTTTCAAAAAGTGGAAGAGGTATAGGACATCACATGAATACAGGAAATTTAGTTTGCTGAGACAATCTGTAACTAAGCTCATTGACATTGCTAAAAGCAGCTACTATTCCCGTAAATTTGAAAGAACATCTTCTACTCAAGAAACATGGAAAACAATAAAAAGTTTGGGAATAGGAAAATCCAAAGGGAGGGTGGAACAGGACATAGATGTGAATGAACTAAATAAACAATTTATAAAATGCTCAGTACCTGAAGTTCTTGACAATCAATAATTACAACTTGCACCTGAAATCGTCTGTGATAATAGGTTTAGGTTTGTGACTGTTAATCAATGTGATATTCTACAGACTATACTTGACATTAAAAGTGATGCGACTGGACTTGACGACATTAATCCGAAATTTATCAAAATTTTGTTACCTAGGATTCTGCCTTATTTAACTCATATATTAAATAAAGCATTAACAACCTCGACTTTTCCTGACTGCTGGAAAACGGCCAAGATTATTCCGATTCCAAAATCAAATACTGACTACAGACCTATATCGATCCTGCCGTACCTTTCTAAAATATTAGAAAATATAATGGCAAAACAAATAAATAAATTTCTCACTGACAATGAAATGCTAAATAATAATCAGTCAGGATTTAGGAAAGGTCGAAGCTGTACTACAGCTATATTAAAGATTACTGACGACATAAGGAAACAAATGGACGATAACAATGTCACATTTTTAGTTTTACTGGAGTATAGCAAGGCTTTTGACACTGTAAACCATAATATTCTATGTTCAAAGTTACGTAATATGTTCCATTTTTCAAAAACTTCTGTTAAGCTTGTGTCTTCATACTTAAATAATCGTCGTCAATCAGTTGTTCTATCTAATGTATCGTCGGAATTTGGAAATGTCACTCGTGGTGTCCCCCAAGGTTCAGTACTTGGTCCACTGTTGTTTACACTGTATGCTAATGACCTACCATCTGTGTTGTCAGAATGTAGTGTGCATCTGTATGCCGATGATGTCCAAATGTATGTGAGTCGTCCTTTAAATAGAATAAGTGAATGTATTGATGTATATATCCGTGAACTTGCTCGAGTAAATGAATGGGCAATCAAAAATGGACTAGGCATTAACCCAAATAAATCTAAGTGCCTCGTAATAAGCAGAAAAAAAAATAAAGCTAGACAATATCGAACCTCTTCACATTAATAAGAGTCCATTAGAGTATGTCGAAAAAGCCGTAAATCTTGGATTTACATTCAACAGGACTCTTACATGGAACGATCACATTGCAAAGGCAATAGGAAAAGTATTTGGAATGCTGAGAGCATTGTCTGTGACTAAGGGTTGCCTGCCTATAAATGTTCGTATGTTAGTAGCAAAAACATGTTTAGTTCCGTGTTTATTTTATGGTGTAGAAGTTTTTTCAAATTGTGACTCGATTAGCCAAAATAAAATAAAAATAGTATATAATAGCATCGCAAGATATATATTTAATTTGGCACGAATGGAACATGTGTCGGGTTATGCCTATAAAATTTTTGACGTAGAACTTAGCGGATGGATAAAGATGAGAATATTGACATTTCTTCACAAATTAATATATAAGAAAGAACCAGCATACCTATTTGAAAAATTAACATTTACTGCGTCTAGAAGACTAAACAATCTAATTTGTATAAGGCCCAGATCCCTGACATCCGAAAGACAATTTTTTATTAATGCCATTAGATTATGGAATCAGCTACCCAACAACATTAAAAATATTAGCAATGCTACGCAATTCAAGGAAAAGGTACTCTCACAGTTTAAAGAAGTCCCATAAATTAAATTAAATTACAGCGACTTAGGAATAGGATTAGGATTAAGTTAAATTAACTACAAAATATACTAAATAATAATAATAAACTTTAAATTGTTAGATTAAGATTATTATATGCACAAATTTTGTTTAGATTTAAGCTTTATGACAGAATGTATTGTAACCCTTTGTGACTAGCGCTCTAATTTATAAGTTTTACACTTGTAGCGTTAGGAAGGCAAATAAAATCAAATCAAATCAAATCAAATCAAATCAAATAATAAAGTGTTTGTCAGAGTTTGAGGGCAAATTCGAGACATATGTGTCGTAGAGAAAAGCGGCCATGTCGCTTTTAAAGTTTATGAAAAATACGAAGGCAGTTCAACATTCTACCAAGCTCTTGGTATTATGCGAAATAAAATAAAAGGCCCAGCAAACACATTGTTGGCTTCTTTCAATACTCCATTGAATTTCAAAGCAATGATCAGTCGTCTTGACTTCACTTATGCCGACAAGAGGCCGATCTACCTGATCGAACAGGAGCTATCAACATTACTACAGGGCGACATGACTCTTACCGAATTCTATGATGAGGTCGAGAAAAAACTGACCTTACTTACTAATAAGACAATAATGACCTTCGATAGTGCCTTGGCGATGTCACTAAATTAAAAATACAGGGTGGACGCGTTACGTGTGTTTATAACCGGAGCAAAAAAATCTTTGAGCGATATTCTTTTTGCAAAAAGCCCGAAAGATCTACCAACAGCTCTCGCTCTAGCACAGGAGCTTGAATCCAATCACGAGCGTTACCAATTCGCCCTTAATTATTCTAGAAGTTTGGGAGACGGAGGTCAGAAAACCAATCAAAGACATATGGATAGGGATAGGAATTCAATCATGCCCGTACAGAATAAGAACCCCTATTTTAGTAGGCGTCAGGTACCTACTTACGGCCACCAGGCTCAGGCACATGTTGGTTATACAGAGGCACCAAAAAGACCAAATAGTGGCAGTGCCAGATTTACAGGGCCGAAACAGCAGAGAATTAACTACTTAGCTCATGACATGGGTCAAGGTGAGGAAGATACCGGTGAATATCAACAGGAGGCAGAAGCGGAGGTTGAGAATTTTGAAGACGAACTAATGGGTTACGATCATGTTCATTTTTTAGCCACAGGTCCCTGCTACCATACATAGAGAGAAAGATAGCAGGGAGAACTATAAAACTTTTGATTGACACCGGGACTTCAAAAAACTACATACAGCCCCTCCCTGAATTAAAATACATTGTGCCGGTAGAAACAAAATTTAGATTTCGTAAATAAGGAGACAATGGCTTTGTTAAAGGACGGAATTATCAGGCCCTCGACGTCACCTTACAACAACCCAGTTTGGGTAGTGGATAAGAAAGGTACAGACGAAAATGGGAATATGAAGAAAAGGCTTGTCATAGATTTTAGGAAGCTAAATTTAAAAACAATCGACGACAAGTACCCTATACCAAACGCAGCATCGATCTTATCAAATTTGGGAAAGGCCAGGTTTTTTACAACCCTGGACCGTAAATCGGGGTTCCACCAAATTCTTCTTGCAGAAAAAGATAAGGAGAAACCTGCATTTTCGGTGGGAAATGGAAAATGTGAGTTCTGCCGTTTGGCTTGAAAAACGCCCCGAGTATATTTCAACGTGCCATAGATGATGTTCTTAGGGATCAAATAGGGAAGTCATGTTATGTTTACGTTGACGATGTAGTAATATTTTCGAAAGGACTTGAGGACCATGTGAAGGACATTGCTTGGGTACTGGACAGAATTTATGAAGCAAATATGAGGGTTTCAAAGGAAAAATCCTATTTCTTTAAAGAAAGCGTGTGTTCACGCCAGAAAGGCGTTTAATTTCGGGAGGCAGTTTTCTCTCCCTCTTCCTCCGGACTTCCAGTCCTAGAGCTTCCAATCCGCTCTCCCTAGCATTAGTTTCTTTTAGGGTTGTCGAAATATTTAAAAATATCGTATCGATGATTTTTTTTTTTTTTTTTAAATATCAAAATGATATTTGATATATCAAAAAAAAATATCGATTTATCAAATATTTTTGATATTTTTGTTTTATTATTATTTTTTTTTAATTTCAATAACCACTAAACATTAACTCACATACGATCTTAAATTATATTTTTAGATTTTTATTTTATATTTATTACTAAATGAAAGAAAACTATATTTATTTTTACTTTCTTTTGCTTTTATTTATATTAAAATCAAATCAGAACAAAAATTTATCTTATATGAAAGATAATAAAAACATGCTTAAATAATAATAAAGCAAACGTTTTCATTATACCCTTGCAGGGTATTATAATTTCAGTCAGAAGTTTTCCAACGCAAGAAAGGAGACCTTTCCGACCCTATAAAGTATATATATTCTTGATCAGCATCAACAGCCGAGTCGATCGAGCAATGTCCGTCTGTCCGTCCGTCTGTCCGTTTCTAAGCAAACTAGTCCCTCAGTTTAAAAGCTATCTGAATGAAACTCCGCATAAAGTCTTCTATATACTCGAAACGGGCCGGATCGGACGACTATATCATATAGCTGCCATACAAATGTTCGATAAATTTTTAGAAAAAAAATTCTAACCTGACTGTTTTTCAACATTTTTGCATCATTTTTTAAATATGTCCATTTTATAATATTTCAGAATTTTGGTATGTTTTATGAAAACAACTTCGTTGTTTTTCAACGTTTTTTCATCTACTCTGAGATATAGGCTTATTTTATTATTTCAGAATTTTGGTATACATTTTATGAAAATCGGACAACTGCCATATATCTGCCATAGAAACGATCAGTAGACGTAGAGAAAATGTAAAGCTGGGAATGCAAAACTGTAACTGTCAAACAGTAAACATAATAAGTGTAGGTAAAATGTAATGAACTATACAAACTTCGGCGTGCCGAAGTTAGCTTCCTTTCTTGTTTTAGGTTCAGTTTCATTTTTTCCGCCGAACTAAGGCTTTAACAGTATCTTATATGAAAGATAACAAAAACATGTTTTCTTTCCTTGTCCCGATAAAAAGTGTAACCGCCTTAAACATCAAAAAATATCTCAAAAAAATATCGATAAAATATGATAATTTTTCAAAAAAATATCACGATAAAAATATTTATTTTTTCGCAAAAAATATCGATATATTGATATTTTGATATATTTTCGACATCCCTAGTTTCTTTTGTATAGTTAGTACCAATTTACCTTCTACAATAAAGACATCGACGCACGTCGCGCAAAACCCCGAAAAGTTCTACGTGTTATTATTTATCGAGTGCATTTCAGACTTAAAGCCGCCCCCTCCAACATTTGGTCCTTCGAGCCGGATTTCATCCACCAGCAGCTCCGGTGGCTTTAACACCGCACAAGATAAGTTTAAATACATTATTGCTGCCGGTCATACAGTTAGGTTTTGCGAAGCTCAATTCGTCTAACTTCTCTGTATGATTACTGTCTGTTCAGGTCAGGAGCTTTCGTTTCCCCCCACGCGACTCCGAAGCGCTCCCGCTTCCTCAAAGCTCCGCAGCGCGCTCTCGCTCTCAGCTTGCGCTCTTGCGCAGCTTGCGCTCTCGCTCTCCTAGCGGACGCTTCGACTCTGGGCGATCGGCGCACGGCTAAGCGACCGCTCCCGCTCTCCTAGGTTCTGATCTCTCACTCCCGCTTGTATAGTTTTAATCACATTCTTGAATTCAAATAAAGCGGACCAAGTCCTCGCAATAATACTGAAATTACCACGCCCCCCCGGCCTACTATTTCTTTTCGTTTGGTGGTGACTTTTCTTTCGTGCGGTGATATTTCTCCGGTGGTTTTCCACGATTGCGGCGCGGGAGTGTTATAATAGTGTGTGCTTACGGACTTGAGAAGTTTCCCCCCAGCCGAACATTTGGTCCTTCGAACCGGATTTTGGATTTTTGTTTTTTTTTTTATTTTTTGGATTCCGGATTTTTCAACTCCACACCAGCAGTTCTCGGTGTTTCTTATTTCCCAAGATAAGTACGAACTATTCCGTCGCCCCCTCACTGCCGGTCTTTAGCAGTAGTCCGAACAATTAATTTCGGTCACTCTGCTGCAAGATTAATTTTCCGTGTCGACTCCAAGAGCGAGTTTTCCTGACAACGGCAGTTGAGGAATTTTCCATTTCTTATTTTCCATTTCCTAAAATTTGCAAATTTGTTTCAATCCGTCTCCGTTTTCAACGCCGCCATATTCTTTTTCGTCCGCCTTCCTCTATACAATGTACAAAACGGTTCCGACACAAGAATAAAATACATACATACATATGTCCATACATATCGGCTTACATAAAGACATTGGTTTTTATTAAGCACGATAAAAAATGAAATTCCAATAATACAAATTACTAATAATCGAAATACAGTCCGCTAACATCCATATATATATATATATATTATTATATTGTAAATCCATATATTTTCTCCATATAAAACATATATATTACATATTATATTTTCTTCCCCATACACATACATACATTCCACATACATTTACATACAACATTTTAAAACCAAGAAAATAAAAAATATAATAAAAAAAAATATATAATAAAGAATAAAATATTGAAACAAAACTTTGTAAGCCAGTGTCCGTCTTTTTTCTGCATTTTATTGGTGCGCCTTACATAGTTCCGCTGCCGCCGCGACATCTACATACATACATAACAAAGAGCTATTACATTGCGGGCAGCGCATCCCAACGAACATTGAGTTGAGAAGAAAGGTGTCAGGTGTTCCGATCCCACCATTCCGATCGAATTATTTTTTCCTTATAATTAATATTTTTATTAATTAATAATTAATCAATTAGTTGATCATTAAATACTTTTAAAGTTTTGCACTCGATTAAATATCCGCAATTGTCAAGGGTACTCCATATATATATTTTTTTGCATTTATTGGGTTATTATTAAATACGAAGATAATAATTTCCGTCCAGCAATTAGTTATTTGGTCAAATAAATTTTAAATTCTCGTCGCATTTTGCTCCAATTAATATTGGTTCCACTACAAATAAAATTTAAATTCTCGTCGCATCTGCTCCAATTAATATTGGTTCCACTACAAATAAATTTTCGATTCTCGTCGCATCTGCTCCAATTAATATTGAGTCCTCTACACATATTTTCGATTATCGTCGCTTCTACTTCAAGTAAATTTTTTCCAGTTTATTTACTTGCAATTCTGAGATTGGTTAATTCCACCATCCACCATCTACCATCCGAGTTCTACGGCATATTCTTGCCATCCATATTCGTTTCGTTTTGACCGTCTCACATTTCTACTTCGTCGATTTAGTTGACGGTATTGGTCTAACATTCGAATTCTACGGCATATTCTTGCCAATCCAAACCAAAAAAAATGTCGGAAGGACAAGAATCAATTCCGCAAGACGCGAGTCAGAAGAGGAGGGAGCGCAGTTAGCGCCTTCAATAGATGGAAGTCAAAGGCGGGAACCGAGTCCGAGAAGCACGGGCGCGGGACCGTCAAGTAATTTGAGATCCAAAGCCAAGAGCACTTTAGACGGTATTTTGCTTGAGTTCATAGCAACTAGCGACCGTCTTAGCAAATTTAAAAGCCAGATATTTACGGCATCCCCTTCCGAGCCTAGTTCGTTTACCTTAAAGATCCGTCTGGATCAGATACAATCCTTATGGGAAAAGGTTGAACGGGAGTATTAAACCGCTTCCAAAGCAGCTCTTCGCGAGGGAGGTAGCGGAAATATTCCGCAACTTCAAAACAAATACGAGCACTGCTATGCGGTGTACGAAAGATGTGCTTCCAAGCTAAATGAAGACATCGACCGTATGTCCGCCCCCACTTCACCGCCAAGAACAGCTCCACCGACAGAGACATTCTCGAGGGGTTGCAGTCTTCCGCCATGCGATACAGAGATCTTTGACGGAGATTATCTGCGCTGGCCCACTTTTCGTGACCTGTTTACGGCCATTTATGTAAATAATTCCAGGTTAACTCCAGTGGAAAAGCTTTTCCACTTAAACGCCAAAACTAGCGGCGAAGCTCACGCCATTGTGGCCAAGTCTCCGCTGACTAATGATGGGTTCCAATCCGCGTGGTCAGGATCGCTTTGAAAATAA